AAAAAATGTTCTCCATCAAAGAAAGCAGCGCATCGTACGACGCGAAGAAGGAATGTAACGCGTAAGTTTCAACATTCTATACACAAAAAACGTTTTTCAACATTATTTACAACGCAATTGCATTACACAGCATGAAGCGTCGCGCGAGGCGCTTACTGAGCAGACGTTACGACTTGACGGCTACGGGCTACAAGTATTTGGAAATTGGCATCAACGTTGGCCCACCGACTTACGTGGAAATCGCTCTGGGAGATCATCGCGGACACGAACTGTCGCTGTCTCTCGAAACGTGGGAAGGCTTCTACGAGCAGCGATGGAATATCTACAAAATGCTTCGAACTGAATACAAGGACAATTTTATAAGCATTGGACCGCTAACGATCAGTGTTTGCACGCTGAGCGACGTTACGCTCGTACGCCTCGATTCTTCATCCGTACGCATAAACGACGCTACATCGTATGTTCGAGTTTGATGGGTGCATCGATGTAACGTTTGAACGATTAGCCAGACTCGATACGGTCGATATCAAGTATACGCGATTCTTCGATATCTCGTCCGAGAGCGCTATACGCGATAGTGACGTCTTCAATGGGCATCAACTCGTCGATTGCGAGCTATTAGCTTTAGTTTTTAATACGTATGAAAAAAAATGATGTAATAAGATGAGAATAAAAATAAATTCGTTCGCATTACTATGTACTTTCTTTACTTCCCATCCGTCATATCCTATGGCTCGACGCGTTATCGCCGTTTAGATAAACAGCCTCAATCTGCGCTTCTCTTAACGTGTCGCGAATCACATACACCCTTAGAAACCTTCCCAGCGATATAGAACTATAAGTAAAACAATATTTATTTAAAATCGTTTGATCCGTAGCAACAAAAATTTACAACATCAACGCGTGACACTAAAACTGCAAACCAAAAAGAGAAAATTCTGTCTAGGCAATATTGGTTAGTTAATAGATACAGTCTGGACGCGGATACACGACAATAAGCACGTTTCAAACTCATAAAAATCGATCTAAGTATCAAGGGACGTTTTCTCTAGTCGACAACAGGAAGTTAGTAAAAACACTTTGGGTTTGAAACGTTTTTATGAATTCAAAAAATGTGCTTATTGTCATGTGTCATCTGTAAAAAAAATATGCTTGGTAACTTCGCTGCAGCGAAGGATGCTTCTCAGCGTCAGTCTGTTAACTAGATTTCGCTCAGCACAGCGAAGTGTGACGGAGTTTCAAAGTATTTCAAAATTGTGTGTGTGTGTGTGTGTGTGTGTGTGTGTGTGTGTGTGTGTGTAAAATGAGCAACGTTCGGGAGTTATTACATATAAGTTACGAGTATTCGGTGGACGGAGTAAGTATTTTTGCGTTTTTTAGATTTTTTCTTGATATAACTCCCGCAAATACGTTGCGCTGGGATTTACTAGTAGACAGTACAAAGTTTTTACTGATATAGTTCGTTAACTATAAACATAGCAAATAATACTTAATAAATTAAGTTTTTGATAGGTGCGGCGTATATACCGGAGTTACCCTATATATTTTCATTTTTTTTATATTATGAGTATATTATTTGTATTTTAACATTTTTTTTGTTTTTTTTCAAGTATCTCATGGTGGATAATGACTGTAAGGAGTGGTTGACCCTGCGGAGGGAGTTAGGATCATCCCGTTGGTATGTGTTCAATATTTATATTAAAAATAAAGTATATCAATATGCTATTTTTTTATAGTAATATTCACAATTCTTTTTGCAGCCTATATCGTGGGGTGATATTAGAATCAGACGATTCATAAATTGCTCACACCGACGGTTGGTGAGACTCCAACGGCGATTGGCCAGGGAGGATCATATTTGGAGCGACATGTGGAGGGACGAGAACCTGCATTTGCAGGAACTCTTTGGTCTCCGACCCTACATCGGATCTATTTGTGTAAGTATTATAATTTTTATATTATATATGTAAAACTTCTTTTATATGCATATTAATGTAATGCTTTTTCGTTTTTGATATTTTTTTATTTTTTATATATACATAACTTTTTTATTTTTTTATATACTTTTAATATTAAAAATTTTTTCAATATAAATAAATGTATTAACTAAATAATCTTATAACTGGATAAAATTATTTATTCCATCTTTCCTTCCTTCGTATCCATGGGTCTACGCACAAAAGATGACCGTAATTAAACGATTTTGCAAGTTGGAAAAAAGGGTCCTAGGTAAACAGCAGTACCGGCGACCCTAGGACCTTCCCAGCGCCCCGTTACCGCTCGCCCAGTGACGTCATACCCCCACCTCCGAAGAATCTCCGCACTCCGTTTCCCCTCACCACCGAGTATCCCCCGCGCCCCGCATTCCCCTCTAGCCCCATGGGTTATAACCCGTCTAGTATATCTACTGATCTTATAGTGGGAAGGGGGACTAGGAGGAGCCTCGATCTAAAGACTAGATCAAACAATGGACTGGACGGTGATCGAGGTTACCCAAATTAACCTGCATCACAGCAAAGGGGCCTCGGCGGTTCTAGCCAGACGCCAGTCTGTGAGGCGCACAGCCATTTCCCTGATACAGGAACCATGGGTCGCCCGTGGGCGTGTCAGGGGGGTCGCAGTATGTGGGAAGCTCTTCAAAGCTCTCACCGAACAGGGACCAAGGGCCGCCCTTGAAGGGCGTGCATAGCAGTCAGGAGGCTGGATGCACGTCTCTTGCCCGAGGTATATTCTAGGGACCTGACGGTGGTGGAGGTGATGACAGCTGGCAGTGCTGGAGGCACCAGGAGGCTGGTCATCTGCCCGGCCCACTTCCCGCATGGAGAGGAGACACCGCTGAGCTAGTCAAGTTGGTGGATCTCTGCCAGAAGGAAGGACTGCCACTGGTGGTGAGGTGCGATGCTAATGTGCACCACACCATATGGGGAAGTACCGATACAAACGAAAGGGGAAGGAAGTTGCTGGAGTATTTGATAACGACTGACCTGGAAGTTCTGAATAAAGGTAACGAACCCACCTCTGTGCGGCGGGGAGGAGTGAGGTATTAGACCTCACTCTCTGCTCACGTGGGTCTGTGCGGAAGGTGAGGGAATGGAAGGTGTCGGATGAGCCATTGCTTTCCGACCACAGGTTAATATCTTTCAGACTTTCAGATCTCAAAGTGGAAGACAAGAAGATAAGGAACCCAAAGAGGACAGACTGGGACTCCTATCAGAGGGACCTGGAAAGGAACCTCAAGGATTTCGCCAGAAAGCACGGGACGGCGGGGGAGCTGGAGCTCTGCGTGGATCATCTACAAAGGGTTCTGGTTGGCTCCTATGAGGCGAACTGTCCGGACAGTCATCAACAACAGGGGAACCCCCTGGTGGAATCCACGGTTGCAGAGCCTCAGGGTCAAGGCTCGAAAACCTTGGAACAAGGCGAGGAATATGGGCCGGCCTTCCGACTGGGATCTTTACAGACTCAAAAGGAGTATAGAGACTCTGTGGTAGAAGCAAAGAAGAAGAGCTGGCGGGATTTCTGCGAGTTCGTGGAGGGAATATCGACCACTGCCAGGCTTTGTAAATTTCTGTCCAGGAACCCAGACGTTGCGTTGGAGGCAGTTCGAATGTCAGACGGTACCATGGTATCCGAAGAAAGATGCCTGGAGCATCTTCTGGAGGCCAGCTTTCCTGGTTTTCGGAGGGTAGATAGGTGCGAGGAAGTTGGCGCGGGCTTCTTCAGGGCATGTGCCAACGATTGGAAGTTAGCGGCAGAAATAGTGAGGCCAACTAGAGTTAGATGGGTGATTGGCTCCTTTCAACCATTCAAGTCGGCGGGGCCCGATCTTATTTTCCCGGCTCTCCTTCAGAGAGATAATCAAACCCCTCAAGAGGATGTTGAGGGGCTTTCTAGCTCTCGGTTACATCCCCCGAGCGTGGAGAAGGACGAGATTCGTCTTTATTCCTAAAGCGGGGCGGGCGAGCCATGCCACTGCTAAGGACTTTAGACCGATCAGCTTGACCAAGTTCCTTCTTAAAACGTTGGAAAAACTGGTTGATGTATTGTCACGCCTTTCCCCGGCGCACGGGAGTGCACTCCGGGAAACGGCAGATCAATCGGATCGGAGGGAAGGTGACGGCCCTCGTACGGGAGTGTGCCTCACGCGGTCGAGCGAGAATCGAGAGCCGCGACAAAGTTGGGCGCCAGACCTGCTTCAAGGCAACGTCGATTTCGCGAACGGAAGCGCGAACCACGCGGAAACCGCGAAACTCCGTGAGCACGAAATATCACCAAAAACCGAGAGCAGTCTCTCGCTCGCGTAAGGGCTGGCTAGCTCTACCTAACGGCAGAGGGGGGGGGGTACGGGTAAGGGCCGGTTTGCAGTAGGATGAACGGGATCTTCGGAGGCAGGGCGTTAACACCATCGTTTCCACTAAGTAAATAATAAGCGTGTTTACTATGCCGAGGCGAAAGACAGTACAAGAAAAGAAAATATTGAAATAGAGGAAGAAAAATTATTAATAGACAGAGAACATTAAGTATAACGCAGCGGAACGATAGTTGCGCTATTGAATCGATCAAGACATGCGATCGGGTAGACGCGAGAACTGCAGAGAGAACGATAGCAAGCCGCTAACTTAGCAAGCAAATTAACCAGGCAGATTCGGTGTCGGGATCTCGCAAATCGTCATGCATGCTCATTCACGCCGCTGAGCCGAATATTCCGTTGCGAGGCTCGGCGGAAAAGTTTTAAAAGTAAGCCCTCTTCTCGGACGGCACACGCACACGCCGGGAAGGATGCAGGGTACCGTAATCGGTGAATCCCACGCGGACGCGAAGACGATACTATCCGATAAAAGACTCTCACACGCCAACTCGCTAGTTTACAACTTTGAGAACAGACACAGAGTAACGGTAACCGCTCTAACATATGCTCGCTTATCCACGCACACACGCACACACCCACCGGTAATAGGCACGCGGAAAGTACCCGCGATCGCCGAGCTCGCGCTCGCGATATCCAACGCGATAGCTCTTCCGCCTCG